TCTCTCTCTCTCTCTCTCTCTCTCTCTCTCTCTCTCTCTCTCTCTCTCTCTTATGAGGGTAGTGTTGTTGTTTTTGTTGTTGCCGCTGCACACATGCACACGAGCGGGGGAGGGTGCAACGCAACCCCACTACGGATTGACGGGCTCAGTTGTGCGGAAGTCCTTGGTGGCTTCAGATCTTGTTAGAGTGCCGCACCGTGAGAAATCGGGTCCGAAACACCTTATTTAGCATATCGTGCGTCAATAGGGATGTGTCATTTTGTCAACGATGACGACAGAGACCCAGTGCCCTCACCCCGGTGGGATGGATCCTGCAATTCGCTACTCCCGACCTCTGATCTTTGAAAAGCCCATCTTCATGGACACGCTCTGATCTGTGCGTTGTGCGTGTCCTGTGACGTGCTCAAAGAAGGTAGTGTTCGCATCTCCTCTGACGACGCTGTCTCCTTGTGTTGCAGGCTACCGTCGCCGTTCAGCGGCAAGCACGGCGCGGTCACCAGCATCCCCGTGCCGGCCACGTCCACCCCGCTGAGGAGGAACCCCCCGGACAAGGCCCGGCACCTTCTGCCACCGGGGGCGCTCAGCCAGCCTCCAGGTGAGCATCGCGTTGTTGTTGTTGTTGTCGTTGTTGTTGTTGTCGTTGTTGTTGTACATTATTTGTGGTGGTGTCAATAACGATGCCGGCGCTGTTTCGCAGGGAGCCCCTTGGCCTCCGCCAGCAGTTCCCGCTCGACGAGCCCCAGTTCGGCGGCCCACTCGTTCATCCCGAAGCCTGGGAACCGGAGCTCTCTCACCGAGAAACACATCAACGGCAATGGGTACGGTAACCGCTAGGGCGGGCGGCGCGGCAGGCGCTCGCGGGAGCCCACTACGTCATTTCTTAATTGGACGGGGTAAGCGATGATGGTGGTGACTCGATATTTTGTTGTCATTATTTGCAGTCGCCAGCACTCGCAGATCCGCGCCCCGGCCGTGGCCAGCCCGTACAGCGCCAACGCCGGCCCGCAGAGCAACAATGGCAAGAACTCGTCCATGCTGGACAAGTTCAAGCTGTTCAACAATAAAGACAAGACTGATAAGATAAAGAGCAGCAGCTCGGGTGAGTGCCGCCGGCGGGTTGTAAAGATGGCCGTGGAACTAGCGAGTGTTTTATGCGGGCCGTTTGTCAGCAGGTACGACGGGCGTCTCGAAACGCACGTCGAGTTCCAGCGGCTTCAGCTCGGCGCGGTCGGAGCGCAGCGACTCGTCCACCAGCCTGTGCAGTGACGCCAGGCCGTCGTCTGGGTGAGCATGACCACCATCTTGTGCTTGACGGCGGTGGACTCTCGTCTCCTAACCTGTGCCTGTTTCCCGCAGCCCCCGCGAAGGCCACAACGGCCACCTGCCGGCCCCGGGGCACCACGCCCCCGGCCACCACGGCCACGCGGACTCCCCGAGCCCCAAGCCGTCGCTGTCGCTGCGGAGCAAGATCTCGCGCGGCGCCGGCAAGGACGCGAAGCAGAGCTCGCCCAAGTCGTCGCGCAAGGACGACGCCAAGCAGCACAAGCAGGGCGGCATCGCGGTGAGCGGCAGCGTGTGCGGCGTGGTGAGCGCCATCCCGGCCGGCAGCAGGGCGTCGACGGGCTCCGGGCTCGTGCCGCCGCGCGTCGGGACGCCCTCGAGCACGCCGACGTCGCGGCTCAGCGCGTCCACGCCGGAGCACGACCGGCCGGCGGTGGTGAGCCGCGCCGGCAGCGCGGGCGCCGCGACGCCCGAGCGCGAGCGGGCGCCGAGCATGCGCGACAGCGGCGTCAGCGACCTGAGGAGCGGCTCCAACTCGACGGCGTCCTCGCCGCCGGCCAACGGGCCCGGCAGCGGCCCCGGGAGCATGTACAACGGCTCGCTGTCCCCGCTGCCCACCACCACTCCGGGCATCCCGCACCCGGGCCACCACCTCAACGCCTTCAACGGAGGCCACAACGGCCACGGGCTGCCCAACGGCGGCCACAACGTTGTCCACATCGGCCACAACGGCAGCCACAACGTGAGCCACAACGGCCACAACGGTTTCCACAACGTTATTCAAAACGACCATCAGAATGGGCTCCAAAACGGTTTCCCGAACGGCCATCAGCAAGGCGTCCAGCACAACGGGTCGGGGACCCTCCCGCAGCCCGGAGTGGGGACAGGCATCCCCAAGCCGACGGCCGCCGTCAAGGGGACGACCAAGCCGCCCAGGCCCGACAGCAACGGCTCGCTCATCTCCCTCAAGGCCGAGAAGCAGGACCTCGTCATCAAGCCCAAGCAGTCCCCGACCAAGGAGGAGGCGGTCGTCAACGGGTACCCGACGAGCAACAACCCCGCCGACCTGGTGAGCAGCGTCAACAGCATCAACGCCAACCTGAGCGTCGCGCTGGTCAGTCCCATGCAGCAGAACGACCTCAACGAGTCCAAGACCGACTCGTCCAACTCCACCGGCCAGAGCAACTCTTCCGACGGCAGCATTGTGTTCCGGCCGAACGAGTCTGACACCAGCAGCATGGTGAGTAGGCTGAGTAGGCCAGGCCGGCGGGCGGTCGGGATTCATCACCTGTTCGCATTCACGGACTGACCGACTTTTCTCTTCGCAGATCATCGGCAAGGACGCCAACGGCCACCACAGCGCCGAGGGCTCGTTCGACGACGACGACTCGACGATGAACGTGAAGCCGATGCAGCCGCTGCTGCAGGGCTACCACCGGTCGGCGCGCGGCCTGGGCTCGGGCCTGGGCCCCGCCAAGCACAACAAGTACTCCGGGTACCCCAACAAGATGGAGCAGAAGAGGGCATCGAACGGCGACGTGGAGGGGTGCGACCCGTCTTCCGGTGAGTCCTTCTTGCTCAGGATCAACTTGCCGCTGTCGGCGCGCTCAGCCCTTGCCTGACGTGGCGCTCTCCGTGTCCCCAGGGTACGTGTCCGACGGGGACGTGCTGCGGAGGAGGTCCAACCAGTGCGGGCTGCCGGACGTGAGCGACGGCTACATGTCGGACGCTGGCGTTTACGCGGCTCACCAGCAGCAACAACAACAGCAGCAGCAGAGGGGCTACGAGGGCCACGGGAATCCGCACTCAGGGTGAGTGACATGAACACCACATCCGCGTGGGGTAGCGCCGGCCTGTGGAGCCTCCAGCAGCACCGCGCGGGGTATCGCGAGTGTCATTCCCCGCCGACACCGACGGTTGGCTCGTGACTTGTGTCAGATCCCCCTTCCTTTCCCTTTGCCTCTCCCCCCC